ACCTCCTTCCTTTATCTCTGATTCTCCAAATTTCCTTCTCTGGTTATTCTTTGTATTACCATTATTATTATTTAATTTAGAATACATTCATCATTGTTAAATAATTTAGATGCCAGTAGATTTAAAATGAAAAGTAGTTGCCTGATTGCCTTTTTTCCCTCTCAGTTATGCTACCCAAGGAAATTCACTTTTAGTTCCTGCAACTTTTCCACTTGTTTCATAATGTGCTCATACTCCTGTTTATTGATTAATTTGAGTCATACTTACTGTCTTCCTGTTAGAACAGATAAGTAATTATTTCTCTTAAGCCCTCCTCTCCTCCCTCATTTTCCAAAAATACATACTATTTTTACTTTACAAGGGCAGTAACGATGCACCGGACATTACGATGTGGATGTTGCTTCCTGCAAAGTGAAGTTGAAGCCAGAGGACGTTCTATACGAAGTCTCGTGCGAAGGCCGCTTTTGTCCTGGCTCAGAGCCCACTCCAGCCCTTTGTCTTCTTGCTGTCTCATAGCTCTCCCTGTGCTTCCTTACTTCTCTTCTGTGTTAAAGTTCTGATTTGGCTGGATCCCACAACCTCCTTGTTTTTGGTTTGCTCTTTGGTGTCTCTGAAGCTACCCTGCCCCCATGCCCCTGGCTTCTCAGAAGAAAGAATGAGAGAAATTTGTCGAGTTCTTTTCCATCTGAATATGCCTCTGTTCTGCCTTTATGCTAGTTTGGCTGGACTCCGTAGCTGATAATATTTATATCCCCAAAATTCTGAAGGCACTGCTCCATGATCATCTAGCATCCTGAATTATAATTTAGATTCTTGAGGTTTATGTTGGTCATGCTTCTTCTCTGGAAGTATTTAGGACCTGGAATACAGCTGATATGGAATTTCTTGATGATATATCTTGGTGTAAATTATTATTTTTTTTCTTTTTGGAAAAGTGACTTTTTCCTCTTTTTTTTTTTTATCAGTACCGGGGATCGAACTCACGACAGCCTGCTTACAAGGCAGGTACTTATGCCGCTGAGCTAAATCCCCAGCCCCTACAAGTGACTTTTTCAATCTTGATATCTGTGACTTCAGGTCAGGGAAATTATTTTATTTCTCTGATTTTGATGCAAATTTATAATTTCATATAATTAAAAAACTATCTTTTGTTGTTCCCAAATGCATTCTAAAATGTTTTATTAGGGTCACATTAAAATTTTAATTTCAAAATTTTTACTTTCATTTTATATTGAGCTTTCCTAACTACAAACAAGGTTATATCTTTCTCTTACTTGAAGCTTCCTCTTTTAAAAAATATACTCCAGTAGTCTACAGAAGAAAATGAGTAATTTTTTTTGAGACAGGGCCTTGCTATGTAATTCAGACTTGTCTTGAGTTCACTTTGTAGCCCAGGCCGACCTGGATTCCACAGCAGTCCTCTTGCCTCAGCCTCCTGAGTGCTAGGATTACAGGTGTGTGCTACCACGGCTGGTGAAGATTTCTTATTTATGATTGGTTGTCTTTCCTTTTTCACTGCTCTTCTATGAGATCTTTTACCCTTCACTGTATTTTCTACTTGATGTTTCATGTACTGAAATGCTAGTAATTATTGTATATTGATTTTGCATACAGCCAGATCATTCGATTCTCTTATTATTACTAATAATTTTTAATACACTTTTTTGTGTTTTAAAGTATGCAATCATATCATGTGTATAATTATAAAGATAAAAAAATCTGCCTTCCTTCCTCCAGTGAATGGGGTCAGTATTTTCTTCCACAACACATTTTAAGTGTTTTGATGCTAGCATTTAAGAAAACTATAGCTTTTCTTTTTCTTTCTTTCCTCTTGGCATATTTATTTTCTGTATATTGTTAACAACACTTAACACACGTATCTTTCTTGTAGATAACTTTCTGAATACTCCAGTTTTTAACGTTTTTTGATTTTCAAGTGTAAATCATTTCACCTAAAGTAATATATTGTTTTTACCCTGTCTCTCAGTTTTAACAACCCTGCCCCTATGAAGGTGTTACATCTTGTCCAGGCTATGCAAAACATTAGAACTAGAGAGACCACGGATATTTGCATCCATTCTGATTTATAAGAATGTTTCTTTTGTTTCCCACAGAGTCAGATTCGCTGTGGTTTTCTAAATCGTTATTAAATTGTGTCGTTTAAGTCCGAGTTCACTGAGAATTTAGTTGTTTTCAAAATCAATAGCGTCACATTTTATCAAATGACTGGTCATCTACGGCCGACAGGTCACTGTAGGTACGTGTTGCTCCTTTAATGCACTTCTGAAATTAATCTGTTCATATTTCGTTTGCAATTTTTGCATGAGAGAACTCGGGCGATAAGTTCGTTCGTGAGAATGAATCTAAGGAAGAACGGAGGCCTGGAACTATTTTTTTCTCTAGCGGGCGGAAAGGATCATTTTTTTTCTTCTGAAATTGGAGAACACTACAGCTGGATTTTAATTTTGTTTCTAAACGCTCGCTGTCTCGCTCCGGACGCCACTGGATGGCACTCGCAACCTGCTAGACAGAGAAAGACTGCGGGTGGCGCCAGGAGAAGGCAGTTTTAGTGTCAATCACTCCTGGCTTTTCATTGGCTAGTTCTGAAGGAGACCCGCCTTCCCTATCTCTTCATTGGCTATCCTCCCTGGTGGGTGCGGCTTTCTGGTCAATTTCTCCAAGGAGCGCGAACTAGGGGCGTCCGGGTTTCTGAGTCTCTTGAGCCTGGTGATGTGGTGGGGTGTAGTGCGCCGGTGGTGGTCCCTGGCGCCTCTCCACCGCACACACAGGACTGGACGAGATTCGCAATTTTCCAGGGAAACACCTAGTCTTGGGGTGGCTTTGGGGAATCGGCCCACTCCCCCTGTAAAAAACGTTGGAAGCCGCGTCTTTCCTACTGCTGGAGAAAGATTCTTGCATGCTTGGCCATGGGCCAAGAGGGAGGCTGGGGGAGCGTCCTGGGTGGGGAGCGAAAAGGCCTTGTGGAAAGCTCCCCACCCCTCCAGCGGGAGTCAGTCCCACCAGAATCTCAGCGCCGGCCTCCAGAGTCTTTTAGTGCCATTCTGGATGGGCTAGGATGTAGCGATGACATGAAGGAAGGAAGAGCTTGTTGTCAGGGTCTCTCATACTCTTGGCCTAAACCTTCACTCTGAGGTTGGAATGGGGCTGGAATCCACTTTCCGATTACTGAGGAGAAGCTTAAGGTGGGCTTTCAGGCTTTGAGGCTGAGCTGAGCCATCGTGTGAACTTCGGGGCGACGGAAATCTGGCCCTGCACTTTGCTAAAAGGCTGTGTGGTAGGCATCTCCCTCCCTGAGTAATTTTTCGGGGGTGGGGTTTGAGGCTACATTGAGCCACCATTTGAATGCCCAAGTGTGACAGATCCAGCCCCTGTGATTTGCCAGGAGGTGGTGTGATGTCTGGCTCCCTGGACAGGGTCTTAAAATCAGCTTCGAGCCTAAGCTGAGACACTGTTTTAATGCCTTTCTGGCACAGTGTTAATTCCTGCACTTTTCTGAAATGCTTTGTGGCTCTTCTTGGGGAGGGGAGGGCCGTGGAGTGGGGTGTGCGGCTGGCCATAGGGGCTGTGTTGGGACTTAGGTTGAAATTTGCACCATGTCTCTGGGGCAACCTGTTTGGCTTTGTGGGTGGATTATACCGCTGGTACCTCATACTGGGCACCTCCACTGGCCATAACAGAGCAACCTGAGCGCTTCAGGAGAGCAGTGCCGCCTTGCTGTTCAGTGTGTGCTAACTTGAGCGCTGGCTGAGAGCAACACCTCCCATCTGTTTTAGTTTCACCCCAGGTAGTGTAGCTCTGCCCCTGCTCCTCTGTTTCCCCATGAAGTGAGTTCCAGATGAGCTTCCTGAGAGGCATCCTGAAGGCTGGGGGAATAGGGTGTCTGCCATTAGTTCTTGTTTCTTCTATAAAAAATTGTAAGTCTGGGGAAATCCTCTCTTGATGGCATTGTGCTAACTTGAGGAGGATAGTGGATGATTTTCTTAAAGTGAAACTATTTCTCTTACTCTTTTAGTGCAGCTTTTATTAGCTGCTGGGGTCCATGTAGTTGTCTGAGGTCTTTTCCTGAGTCTTGAGTATTTATCTGTTTAACTAAGGTGCCCTCACCTGCGGACGCTGCCGGGTGAGCTTCTGTGTTTGTGGGGTTGGTGGATGGGTGGGCGAAGGAACACTGAGACCTCTATTTCAGCACGTTGTGGGTGTCCTAGCATTATTTTTTTAAAATAAAAATTCTGCTCCTATCTCTCCTCTTATTCTGAAACTTCCATACTTTGTATATTGGTATCCTGTAAGTCCTATAGGTATTCTTTACTCTTTTTCATTTTACTTCAATAGGTTAATTTAAAATGATATATTCTTAAGTAGCTGATTTTATTTTCTGCTTAGTCTGATCTTGCAACTCTTCATTGATTTATTTCACTTCAGTTATATTGTATAACTCCTGATCACTGTTTACTGCCTGTTTACCATATGTTTGTTGCAAATGAAGAATGAATTTTCTCCATGCATTGCTTCCTGATCTTGTGTGGTTATATATGTCTGTGTTCTTGTGTAGCTCAATGAACCTTTCTGCCAATTGGCAGGGTTTACAGGTGGACAGGCCTGGTGTTGAGGGATGAGCAGACTGGCCAGCTACTGAGGTCAAGGGGAGGCCTCTTCTCGGGACTGGGGGCTGCTGTTGAAATCCATTGTTGACAATCTACTGATTGTCAGAAGAGGCTGACCATGGTCCAGGCATGTTTAAAAGTTTGTTACTGCAAAATTCTAGTATTAGTGTTAGCATGAGCTTATTACCAAGACTAATGAGATCTGGGGACTCTGGGTACACTTATGTATCTTTCTTTGCCACAAATATGTATGCTCATTCTTAGCTGAAGCTATGTCCTAATCACTGGTCATAACCCATAGGATAATGGCTTGCACGTGGTGAAGAATATTCTCAATCTCCAGTTCATCACTCCTTTTCCAAATTATTCTCATGTTTACATCTGAAAGGGTTTCCTTAGGAGTCTTCCCAGAGCTCTGTGCATGTCCTTGTTCCTGAGACTGTAGATAAAAGGGTTCATCATGGGAGTCACCACGGCATACATCACTGTGGCTACTGAATCCTTGAGGGAGTAGGTGTGGAGGGGCTGCAGGTATACCATACAAAGTGTCCCATAGAAGAGGGATACCACAGCCAAATGTGAGGCACAAGTGGAGAAAGCTTTGTACTTGTGTGAGGCTGAGGGTATTCTGAGAATGGCTCTGACAATACAGATATAGGACATGATCATAAGCCCAAAAGGAGCAAGGAAGATGAGGCAGCCTGTGGCAATCAGCGTTGTGTGATTGATGTGAGTGTTGGAACAGGCAAGCCTGAGCAGGACATACATCTCACAGAAGATGTAGTGGATCTTGCGAGACCCACAGAATGTCACTCTGGTCATGAGAGCAGTATGAACAAGACCGTAGAAGATAGACAGGACCCAACACCCAGTGAGGAGCAAGACACAGAGCCTGGGGCTCATGGCTGCTGTGTAGTGGAGGGGGCGGCAGATGGCCACGTAACGGTCATACGCCATCACAGCCAGGATGAGATTGTCGAGGGCCACCAAGGAGACCAGAAAGTAGAGCTGAGTCAGGCACCCTGCATAGGAGATGGCTTTGTTCTGAGACTGAAGGTTCATCAACATCTTGGGGATTGTGTTGGTGACAAAGAAGAGGTCGGTGAAGGAGAGATTGGCCAGGAAGAAGTACATTGGGGTGTGCAGGCAAGGGTCAGAGCCAATGGCCAGGATGATGAGCACATTTCCTGTCACTGTGACCAGATACATGGACAGGAATGTCCAAAACAGAGTGTGCTGCTGCTCGGGAACCTCTGAGAGGCCCAAGAGCAGAAATTCGGAGTCTTCACTCTGGTTACCCCCGTCCATTTCTTACTTCTCTGTAATATGAGCACGAACGAGATCTTACCAGGTGCTCGCAACTGGATAAGGGCGTGAAGGTAAGAAAATCATCTGCTGTCTTTGCATCAAAATGATCTTAGAGCTGGGCTCTTGGCATGAGTCTGTAGTGCCAGCTACTTGGGTGGCTAAGGAAGGATGACAAGCCCAGGAGTTCAAGGACGGCCTGTGCAACAGAACAAGGCGATGTCCCCCAAAAGTCACAGACCACATTTTATAATTTTTAAATATGAGCAATGAATTAATAGTAGCTACAAAAACAGAACTGGGGAAGTTTTTATGCAGTATAAGCATTCCAGCAACTTATAATTTGGCAACTCGACTTTACAGGAATGTTGTCTAAGTCTTATTTTAAATTCTATTTGCTTACAATACTCTTGAATCATTTCACAATTTATATGGTATGCTTTGATATTGTATAGGTTTTTAAAAATGGGGGTGGGGAGTTAGCCCAGTGGTACAAACATTTGGCTGGCAAGTTTGAGGTCATGAGTTCAATTCCTGGTACCAAACAAATGTAAAAAGATTTATATTTTATACAGGTGCATGCATTATAAGAAATGGATATAGTACATTTTACAAATTAGATGGAGTAACAAAAATATTTGAAAGGAGCAGGAAAATTATTTGTTGATACGATGATTTAGCTGGGAAAAGCAAGACAATGCACTGGAAGATTAGTACAGATAAAAAGGGGCTTAGGTCTGTGTTTTGCTTCTTGCTAGTGGTGAAAACTTGGATAGAGTCTCAAAGGTCTTTAAGAGTTGGTTTTTTCATAGGAAGTTGCCTCAAGGATAGATTCAAATAAGTAATAAAGTACCTAATACAAGGAGCTGGCCTGCAGTCAGTGCTCAACAAATACCACCCATTATTTTTATATATAACAATAATGAGAAAATAAGCCTAAATATAATACAAAATGATCTCTGCTATGCTACCAACAAAAAAAGATCTGCATTAAGGTGTTAACACAAACCAGGCAAGACCTTAGTTCTTTAGTGAGGTGAAAGTAAAAATTCAGCAAGTGAATAGGTCACTCAGATTTCAGATAAAGATGAGCTGCTGCAAGACGTAAATTCTCCTTACTCTACAGTGAAACAGTAATGGAGTTTTAGGAAGCAAATTAAATTTTACCTAAAATGAAGCATGAAAATAAGGAAGGGCACTGTTGGAAAAGAGTTTAGGTGACATTCTGCTCTATCAAATGTCAAAGACTTTAGTGCAGTAGTGATGCTGAAGCGAACAGTTGGTAGAGCTGGGTGGAAACTTCATAGACGGATGCCAAAACATTAACCGGTCATCATGGTAGTGCTATATATTTGCAGATAAAGTTTTAATTCTTTAGGAAATAGAATTGGAACAGTTGTGTAGTTATTTAGGGGAAACAAAGCAATATTTTGTATTTTACTCAACACATTTCAAAATACTAAGATTAAAATAACATATTGAATTCTTTTGGCTTTGGAAACATTACATATGTAAAGTAAAATTTTAAAAAATTCACAAAAGAAAAAAATTCATAAATTATATAAGATTCCATTATTTGCAGATAGGTTGCCTTTATTCCCCTTCTGTTTTTTTTTAACTTTAAAATATCAAAAGATCTGATTCTGTGGAGTCCTGATCAAAGAGCATTGCAGAAAGAGGGCTTGATGGCAGTGGTCCTGAGGCGGGGATGATCTTATGTTTAAGAAACTAAATATGGTCCAGTAGCCAAAAAGGTTAGAGTGAAGTGGAGATGAGCAAGGTGTGAGATTATGCAGGGAAGAGGGATGGACCAAGTGAAGCCTTGTTAAGATTTAAAATTTTCTGTCTATTGCATTTCTTCACAGGAGCCATCTTATGCTGTAGGGTGGATTTTTAATTTTTTCTCCTTCTTCCTACTTGTGTCAAACTCACTCTGTAGAGCCTGCTCTTTCCCCAACCTTCAATAAATATAAAACTTTGCCACTATTAAGAAAGATTTAAACTTTTCTTTTCTTTTCTGCTTCTTTCTTTTTTCCTTTGCAGTCCTGGGGATTGGAGCCTTCACACTGAGCTACATCCTGAAAGTCCCTTCACCACAGTTTAAAATTTTTTTAAAGACAGTTTCTTACTAAGTTTCTAAGTTATTCAGGCTGGGCTCCAACTTATGATCCTCCTGCCTCACCCTTGTACAACTGGTATACCCTCCCATACCCAGTTTAAAATTTTATCCTAAGTGTAGTGAAGAGCCTGAAAGGATTTTTAGCAGAAGAGGGTGTGTATATTGAGTATTTGTCTTCCTTTATTTATACTTTTGAAAAGTGTTTTAATAAGTGGGTCGGACTGTTTCATTCTTAACTGAATGCTTCTTCAGTGCTTGATGTTGAGACACACTTGTATTCCAGCGTAGATGACTGAAACTGATTGGCTTTTATTTTACCTAAGCTTTTGTGGTCATATTTGTAAATTAAATTGTTCTGGCATTTCTTTTTTTCTGTGTCATTTTCATAGCTGTTTGGTATGTTCGGCTTGCATTATCTTCCACCTTACACTAGAATTTACTTACTGTCAATTTTAACATTTAAGAAGTTCCATGGAATTTGTTTTCTAAAAATAGGTAATTTTTTTCAGCATTGCACTCTATGGATTATAAATGAAAGAACTTTAGTTCTTTCAAGCAATAACTCAAGCAATACAGAAAAGTGCAAATCAGAAAAGAAAATCCACCTAAATTCTCCCTTGCAGCCACTTGTGACATTTTAGTGATCAGACTTTCAGTTTTTTTATTCAGTCATCTTTATTTACCCAATGATGTGATGGGGCAACTTCCTCCAAGTCAATATTACAACTTATTTCCAATTTCTCCTTGTGGAGCGATCTTACTTTTCTGTCTGCATAATTTTTCTTTATTCTTAAGATTTAAAAATAAATAAATAAATAAATAAATAATAACTCACCTTCATTGCTTTTTCTGATAATTTCTTTTGTAGTCTAAAATTTATGTCTTCTTTAATTTTAGGACCGTTTTCTTCATTTGTTCCTTATTGCACAGAATTCATATTCTGCTGGGATTTTGTAATTAACATTTTGTTTTGGTGAATGTATTCTATCACACAGGACCCATAGTAAATGCCAACCTGCCTCTTTATAAATGAAAAGACAGATTAAAACAGTCATTTGAACAGATTCAGTAGTCTAACATAAAGATAACATAAAGATATTATTCCAGCAATCAGGTGAATGATCTTTATGCAAAAGGTTTTCTTTATGAAAAAAGAGAAAATTTAAATGTGAGTAATATTAACGACAGGGTGTATTGTCCTTTCAAAAGATTTGCTCCAAAATCAAGAAATGTTGCTTTGGGTTCGGATATGACAAGCTCAAGCGACCGACTCTTTAATGCAACTTGTGAAAATTGTTTAAAAAAAAAGACTAAAGACTCTGGAAGTAAAGAACCAATGAACACAGATTTAAGTAAAGATAAGGGAAATAGGCAAGAAGGTCGGAGGCTGTGGCATTTGGATTGAGACTGGTGCTTCCTACGAAGAGGGACGAAGAGATTCTTTCCTAGACGGCGCAGAACACCCAGCTCCCTCTGCCTGGGGTTATAGCAGGAAGTGTTTCTTTCTAAGAGAAGTAGGGCTTCAGCATCTCTCATCCTGCCCGCCGCAGCCAGGTGCTGGGGCAGAGCCTCAGCCACGTGTGGTCGAGGAGAGAGTTATGATTTCCCCACTGTGGAAAGGAAACTCTTGTTTGGAGTAATCTCTGAGGACACAGAGACCTGATTGCCCTTGTTCAGGTGGCAAAGCTCATTGTTTGAGAGGGATGCTGAGAGGACTGTTGCTGTCTTCTACAAACCTTTAGTACCAAAGAGGGCACAGCTCAGAGACGACTGCTCAGTCCACCACACCAAGTGCTAAAGATTTACCTCTGGGGATTTAGCTCAGCGGCATAAGCACCTGCCTTGCAAGCAGGCAGTCGTGAGTTCGATCTCTGGTACCAATTAAAAAAAAAAGATTTACCTCTGAGAGTTTGCCTGGGAGTAGAATCAACAGCAAGATAGTACTCCTTAATTTTTTTCCCAAAGGGAAGTGACTTTGTTTGCAGCAAGAATGCAGAAATTCAAGCAAGACCATGTCACAAAATTTTTTAAAAAATTTAAAAAGGGCCAGGATATAGCTCAGTGGCAAGCACCTGAGTTCAAGCCTCAGTACTGAAAAGAAAAATTTCAAGGAAAGATTGGCTGAAAAATTTCCAGTTTATGAGAAAACAATACCCCCTCCAAGAAGATAAAAAAAACCTCTCTCAAATAGAATAAACCAAAGATTTCCAGTTATGGGAGGTGTAGTGGAAGGAGGTTTTGAGCCAGAAGTTTGTGTCCAGTTTATCACATATGATTGTTAAGCAAACCAACAAATTGATAGCCTTTGTTTGGACAGATAATGTGTTGAATGTAGAATTCAACAATAAATTTTTATCTCATTTTCTAGATGAGGTGACTGAGACTTTCAAGGTTAATGAGTTCTTTAATTTGTTCAACTAGTAGCTGATAGAGTTGAAGTCTTACATCTTTTCCACTTCTCCATATTCCATACCCTAACTTCTCTGCCATGTATTAAGTAACGGTAATAATGCTTACTTCACCCAGAGGTTCAGATTAAGAGCTAAAACGCTGTGTGGAAATACTTTTCTAACCTTCAAGCCTATTTCAACTGAGAGGCTGTTAGGGTAATGGCTAAGCAAAATCTACTCTAAAACAAGTTCTCAAACTTCTGATATTTTCACCTGTTTCTGGTAGGAAACTATCACTCAGGGTGGAGAGAAACAAGGTTCCCACTCTCCCCTCCAGCCTGGGCTTGCATATGGCTCCTACTCAGACAGGAGGAGTGGTCCGCTCAGCCTGTGGTTGCAGGGAAGGGCCCGGAGTGTTGAGATGTCTGATGCATCTGGGTCAGGCCCTGACAGGTGACTGCGTGGGAGAGAAAAGAGTGAGGGAATAAATTACC